CAAAGGCAAACTCATTTAATATTTAAAACTTACTGTTTTTATTATTTGTTTCATATATTCTTTCTTATTTGACATTTGATAAGGCTTTTTGATATAATTTTTATGAAGTGTTTTATAGATTTCTGTGGTCATACTGTTTACTGACCCAAATTCTTTAATTGCAGGTATTAAATGATGGCATCAAGCATGAAGTTTTGGAAGTTAGAGACTACTTTTAGAATATTTGGAAAAAATTTTAATAAATGCTTGGGCCCAATCTGTATTATAAGTCTATAAAATTAATTATTAGTTATCACAGCATAGTAGACAAATCCAATTTGGTAATGATTGGCACAATTAAATAAAAAAAATTTTTTTAACTTTTTATACACTTTAAAGTGTTTTAAAGTACTTTTTATTCCTGTGATTTTTCAAAAATTGTCAATTAAATTTGACAAACGAAAAAAAGCAACTAAAAACCTTTTGAGTGACCCATATTATATTAAATTTAATCAAAAATAATTAAAATATTTAAGATTTTCTATCAGAGACAAAGTTTGTAGAAAATGGATGATAGATCAATTCAAGATTCAAGCAGACAGTGCATTGTGAAGATCTGTGAAGGTGTTTCTATGACAACTTGGAGAAAAATAACTGAAAACGTGTTGAATAAAGCAGAAGCTAATCGAACTTTGGCTTCATATTATAGAGACCATAAAGGTAAGTATATATGTTTTAATTGCTATAACACAATTGTAATAAATGAAACAAATGTTTTTAAGGAACATGTTATAGAATATGAGAGAGGATTAAAAAGACATAGAAAGGATGATAGCCTCTCTATGTCTGAAAGTATTTTTTTATTAATTAACATTATCTTGAAAAGAGAAATTATAGGAAACGATCCACCTATTGTTTCATTTTTTAAGCTTCGATCTATTGCTGAAGGCAAAAATAACCAATTAAGTTTTTTTTTTGATAAAATCGAAGTGATGGCTTGTTTGAAAAAAAAAACGATGCTGAATAAAAAGTGCTTGATCATTCTTTAGCATATCAATGTTATTTGATATGCTGAAATCAAAGCATAGCCATTCCGATTTGGAACTTAAAAGATGAAGTGGTGAAAAATGATCACAATCTTATATAGGTAAATAGCATTGATGTCCTAACCAAGCTTCTATACGATTGAGAGAAATATAAAAAAGAACCAGCAATTTATAGCTTTAAACAGCTGCGAAGTGAGATAGTAGTTAAGGATTTTAGGCTAAGTAGTTTCTTTAATTTAATATATAATGCATCACTTTCTGAAAATAATAGAAGTGATAAATATTTAGATAAGTTAGATAAAAAATTGGTGGTGGAATGTTATATTCTTTGCAGCAATCAAAATTCTAAATTAACAGCATTTAAAAAAGATATTTCACTTTTTGTAGATTTAATAGAGGTTTCAACAAATGCTATAGATGCCTTATCACATGCTGGTATAATGATTTCATGAAGGCATCTTGATAGAGAGAAGGCAGCTATCACTGATAATCATCTGTCTAAGGTTAATTCATATCTAGAAAGCAAGAAAAATAATGCCTTAGTGCTTAACATTAATGATTATCATAATATTCATACTGAACGAACCCTGGATACATGTTTAACATCAAGTGCAGCACACATGACAATCTTGCTGCTAAATAGCATTAATGCGATAGCTATTCTATAAGTTACACCGAATAGTATATTAATTCATAATTCAAAACTAATTGATTCTGAAATTATATGTACTTTTTTAGATCACTACTACATGAGATGAATGGCTAAAACGTTTAATGACCAGTTTCATTGTGAAATATCCTTGGATAAGAAGCTTGAAAATATGACTCTTCACAAATACAATGATCATATAAAAGAATGGCAGGAGGAGTATAAAATGAAGAACACAAAGCTTCTAGAATTTTTTGAATTAAGTCTTAAGGATATGAATTTATACATCAATGCTTTACAACAAGTTTACAAAATCCCTTTACTAACTAACTATTTAACTGATTATGTTCTTCCAGTTGTAGCTGATTGGCCTAGGCAGGTTTTTCTATGACAAGCCATTACTCTTCATTTACTAAATCATAAAAACAATATACCAAGCAGTGTATTATTATTTATTCCAATTATTGGCATTCTTCATATTCAATTAAACTTAATTGAGTCTATACTAAAGACTTATTGGGATTTTTTTAATATGGAGTACCAATATATTTTTTGTACAAGTAAAGAGTTGAGTAAAACACCAAGCCTGTACCGAATTTTCATGCTTTTAGAGCTCATAAGAAGTGCCTGAAAAGAAATTAAACTGATTGTAATAGGTAAGTTTAATAAATGTTGCAAAGATACTGAGTTTTTATTTTTGTTCGAATTATTAGACAATATGGTATCAGTTGGATTAGATATATATTCAACTTTATTTTGATCCAAAGATTGGAAATTATACATCGAAGGCGTATTTCGGGTATGGTGTATTTTTTTGTGGTTTGAAAGGTGTAACTATAACAAAGTGCCTTTAGCATTTCTTTCAGATATATTTTATTGGAGTCAGAATAATCATCCAATATTAAATATACTAACAGATTATTTAGTTAAGTTTACAGATTATCTTGTTAAAAATATGCGCAGCAGAATACGATGACAGATCTCACCTTGTGATACCCCACATCAACTTTCTAGAACAGCTAAGATCATTAATAACAGAATAACGATTAACATTTTCGAAGATAAATTCATCATTTAGCAAAAATCTACATATGCAGATAAAGATCATTTGGCTTTATTAACAAAGAAAGCAGAGATATTTCTTCTTGAAATCTTCAGTAATGTTTATCAAAAGCTTGGTCAAAGTTCTATTGTTAAGGAACAGGGTGAAAAAATTGCCTACAAGCTAGCATTGTTAAACATTACTGTAGACAAAAAACAAATGCTACTAGGATTCAGCAGTAAGCATTTACCAATATATGACAAGTATGATTATTGTTATAAGCTATTATGCAACAGAACAGGTAAAGGCTCTATAGTTATTGCATGTGGTTATGGATATCATGAGAGCTGTTTTAGTATTTCATTAAGGGGAAAATATTATTATTGCAAAAATTTTCTTAAACTAAATATACAAAATAATGTTTTTTCTCTTCTTTCACGATTAAGTAAATTAGATAAGAGTAAATCAAATCTAAAGGAATTTATTGATACTGATGAAGAGAGTCCACAAAATCAAAAGATATTGAATGAAGATAATATATTGAAGGTGCTTCGAAAGGATAAGCAAGCATTACCAAGAGCAGAGCAAGCTTATTCTACAATTCTTGAAAAATTTTTGAATGCTAATATTACAAATATTTAATGTTATTTTTTTCAATATACTTTAATTAAACATTTTATTATTATTTATTTTTTTTTTTTTAACTTTGGCGACAATGCCAGTTGGTTTTTATTAGCCTTAATTTGATATAGTACAAATTTATGGTTAC